TCACCATTGACATGATCCGAAACGCTTAGCTATGAGATATGAAACCCTTAGCTATGATCGATTCTCGCTCGATACCATGTGAGAAACCAAAGGCAAGAAGGGAAGAAAAATTTAGAGTGCAATGCTCGATTTCTTGTTTATTCAACCGAAAATGAAGAATCCAAAAACATAATCAACACACACTTCTCGCATGTCGTAGCCTTATATACCGACTTCACAAATTGTCGGTTAGGGCTCTAATGGCTATAATAGATTTATCGGTTTAAAATAACCGATGCGAGTAACTAACCTTCATTAGTCAATTATTTACAAGTGTGCCATACATCACACAATATATATACATTAACATGGTATTTGAATTCTACCACTTAAAATTACCGGTAATCCATTTTTGTCGATATTTTGAGGCTATCCGTAATTTCTTTGGTCATTTTTTGACCACATGGTAGTATAAAAGAACATGGCGTTCGACACTTCCTGTGAACTTGGTCATGGTCTTTCTTTATGTGTCTTTTACATAACTCGCTTTTAAGAAGTTTTGAATGTGAATGCTATTTGATTTTTTAATTAATAATGATGTGAAGAAAGCATATTAGATGGTGAGGGAACAAATATCAATCTAAAAAATCAAAATAGAAACGGGGTGAATATTTCTCTTTCAAACATTAAGATTGATAGTTTTTATACACGAAAAAATTTATTGAATTATTTTATTTAGCGGTTTTTTTTTTATTCTCAAAGTATTTTAAATCCAAATTCTCGGATTAATCTTTCACTCGTTCGGTCGAACACATAAGAAGGATATAGCTACTTAAGAATTTTTCTACATATACAAGAATTCAAATCCGAAATTACTTGTTTAAATAACTAGAATTTTTTTCACTCAATTCAATGTTTTTTGGTACACCGACATTATTAAGCATTTTTTTTAAGGTACACCGACATTATAAGACTAATTTCATAATTGTCATTATTTTTTATTCGGTACTAACCTTTGTCAACATTTTAATGAATGTAAATTAGTTTCAAATCGGAGATCCCAAACCTTTTATATTGTTAAAATTGAAAAACAGGTTTAAACTTTATGGTGGCTATAAAAAAATATGAAAAATAAATTCTAATTCTAAATCTTTTTATTGAAAGTCCAAGAGTCTTACTACCAGCTATTCTTTGTGATTATAATTGTCATGTATTATACATTTTTAATTCTAATTCAAGCTTTTTGTTTTTAATGTTCTCACTCAAATGCTCCAGCTCCGAACTCTAATAATGAAAGAAAAACTAATACATTGCAACTTTTTGCCTTCTTTATTTTTATTTTTCTTTTTTCATGATGGGAAAAGCTCTCTTTCTATTAGTGAGTTTCTTTGCAATCTTATTAACCGTGTAACTAATATTACCATTGTTTATAATATATATATATATATATTTTAGAAGTGCTAAACTCTCTTAGCAACACGCGGGCAAGCCAGGTAGTCCAAGACTAAAATATAATGCACCGTAAGCGTGACATATTTGAGACGCAATACCCGCCCGTTTGGTTAGAAGTTAGAAATACTTAAGACCCAACTAATCTTTTGAATATAAACCGTGTAACTAATATTGCATGATTTGCCACGGCCGCGATCCTTGAACTACGAAAATGCTGGAATAGTTATAATTATGCATAAAGCTACTGTTTCCCAACTACGTTTCAAGCATCATGGCATAAAGCGATGACAATACTAACGTAACTACAAAATTTCTAATTATTCAGCCTTCTATTTTTTTTCTTTCAAGATATCCTAAATTTAAAGATTTAAATTAATCATTTGATGTTTGATCAGACTTATAAAACAGATATAATTATTAGTTTTTTTTAATTTTTTTATATGATTTTTAGTATGAAGAACGATTAAAATCATATATCTTAAATAAATCTTTAATAGAATGGATTCTAATTCATTAATCCAAACAATTATTTAAAAGTCAAATCATTTTTATTGCAGACTTTTGGAAATGAAAATATTTTTCAACATACTCATTGTCAACTTTTTTTGTTTTTTTTTAATCAGAAAATTGTCACACCTTTGAAAAAATTGTAAACATGTTCCACGATTAGTAGATGAACTTTTTCATCGTCCGCGGCCGTATGATGGCAGCCATTCCTTACCCATTCTAGTCGTAATTAACTAGCAAATTGACAATCGTATCACAAGTTGTGACAATCAATATAAACGAATTACGAAGGTTAATTTGAAGGTGGAAACACCAAGTCGGATTAGAACCAACAATTTCTATAAATTTGAACGATATATTTCTTATTGGAGTTATTTTTTCTTCATTTGATCGCCTATTTAAATGTTCGGTTACGTTTTGGTTGTACATTCAATTAATGAATCCAGGTGAAAAAATCTTCACCATCATTTGAGAAAGGAGTGAAACATTTTTGTCTCGATCAAAATAGAATGTTTCCCTTTCTCAACCTCTCGTTTTCAAAAAAGCATGTAGTCTTGTAACTTTCATTCATGGCAGCAGAAAACTACCTCTCAATTCAAAGAAAGCAATTAAGATTTAAAGCACCATTTATTACAAATTTCGGCCGGGTCCCCTTTCCTGAAATTCTAACTACCGTCTATATTTTATTTTTCACCATTCTATTTTTCAACTAGTAGGCCTTTTTACATAGATATTTGAAAACATTGTAGTTTTAAAGCTTGGAGAAAAATAAAAAATAAAAAATAAAAAAACGAAAAGAACAAAGACAAGAAACAGGAAAAAACAAAAAAACACACAACAAATGATGAAAATTATAGAACAAAACTTTTATTTTTCGGTAAGTATTAAAAAGAGAATTTTGATTTTTCCCTTTGAACTTCATGTCATATCTTAATTTACTTAAAATATTTAATTTATGTCAATTAGACCGGTCAGTATTTTTCATATTCATTCATTTTTTATTTCTGTCCATTTTTATCAAAAAGAGTAATAAAAAATATAAATATAAATTTCAATTTTGTCTCGAAAATTAATTGAATATCTCAATATAATCTAGAAGGTAAGGACGAACAAATAGAACTTGCAAAATTCCTTAAACACGGATATTTTCTCTCTAAAAAAATGATTTAAAAAAAAAAGATGTGGAGGCAAAATTAAAATTTACACATGCTTTGTTGTCACTATTCCTAATGGAAGTGTACGGAAGGGTCGAGAATGAGAGCAGAGATGAATTGTTAAGTATATTTAAAACTTACCATGCCATAAAAAAAAATTATCTAATCGTTTTGTAATTTAAATAATTTCACAATAATTATGACCAATTCCAAATGATTTCAACAAGAAGAATATTGTATTGTCTTTAGAAAAAAAAAATTTATTTGTAAAACGTGACTTTTAAATGATGATGAATTAATAATTTTTTATATTTATTGTATTACAAATATTAACTTATTACATCCTAAATGTAAAAGTATTATAATTACAGTGTCTACGTACGTTGCCCTAGCTACTACTGACTCGGCGATTCCTGCACCATCTGTTCCCAATTTTTGGATCTCGTTCATTTTCAAAATAATAATTAGTTCTCTCGCGGATATGCTATTTTAGTCATTTTCCAGTTTTTATATGCATGACAAGTACATGCATCCAATTATTTATCATTTTTCTTTGACAAGGAAAGTTGGTTTTTATATGCAATTTCTATGAGTATCCATCTACATTTTCCCGATTATAAGAAAAGTCCAATTTGAACAATTGCACAAACATTCATTGCCAACTGACCCTTTTCTGAATCCTCTTTATCTCCCCCATCTGTCCCTCCGACTAATCAATGATACTACGAGGTGGCATTAGCTCACTCCAGGTTCGTATTCACATATTAAATTTTGTCTAATGGATGACTCTCTTGAGCATGGCCATGATCCATTCCAAGAAGTTCTTGTGCTTTCATGATACTTTCATAACTAAAGATCTTCTTTTCTTCTAATTTCTTTCCTGATGTTTAATGGAAGTTTCATTAAAATTTGGGCTATATATATATGGAATGATGACGACACTCTTTGTCCTATAGTTTCTTTTTCACATATTAGTATATTTATTTTTTATTTTATAAAAAAGATTACTTTCTTATTAATTCATTCTGGACGCTTTGAAACACATGTTTTCATATTGATTTGATACATTCAGAAACATTTAGAAAAATGTATTCATATGGGATGATTATAACACTCTAAAATTGTTTTATAATTTCTTTTTCATATTAGTATTTTTATTTTTATTTCATGAAAGGATTAATTTTTTATTAATTTATTTTCAACATTTTAAATACATTTCTTCACATCCATTTAGGACATTAAAAAAATTTAATAAATTTATTTGAATGTCAGTTTCAAACTTCAAATTTAGAAAATTATGAATATATATATATATATATATATATATATATATATATATATATATATATATGTGCATCGTTAAGTACAAGGCTAAACTCTTAAAATTTTAGTGATTTTCTTTAATCTAAAATCAACTTAATTAATTAGATGTAGCTAAAGTACATAAACAATTAATTAAACTAAACTAATAACTAAAATCCACCCACCTTTAATTTTTTATTTCTTGTTTTTATCATACATAAACCCAACCTGAAAATTACCAATTAATATTTGATTCAAATCAATAGCCTAACATAGACATTATTTGGGATGCGTAGCTAATCTTTCTTCAATGCTGCACAACACCCAATTCATCTCAACTAAACCTACACACCCTGGCTTAATTATATTGTACACTTGTCAATCATCCACGCTATTATCATGATTGCCAAGGCAGGTTCACCTCTGGAATTACGTGAGACATATACATCGAACGACTCCACCCGCTCCATGCCCACATGTCAGTCATCCAACGATCAGTACCCTTAACTAATAGCTCGACCTTTAACACTTACTTGTGCATATAAAAGCCATGACAGGTGCACCATGCCATTAGTATCCTAAGTAGAATAGCCAGAAAATTCTTCAATGGTTTGTTTTTGTTTCTTGGTGGACCAAAGAAGGAAGATTAGGAGATCGAAGCCGGTAGCTGGGTCCTGTACAAGGTGCGGTAGTGGTGCTAGTGTGGCTGATATGAGAACTTCAACAAGATTTTGTCATATTCCATTTTACTGGAAATCTTGGAGAGCAATTATTTGTACTTTTTGTGGAGCTATTCTCAAATCTTACAGATAAGTTTTGGAGCTATATATTATTTTTGTATAATATTATCGTTTTCCTCATTTCTAAGAGAGAGATGGAGGGTATTATACTTGCAACTTTGGTACTATAGCTAATTATAAATTAATATTGCTCCTGTAAGTTTCAATTTCTTCTGTTGAAAAATAAGGAGGAGGACTAGCTGGTAAGCTTTTGTGAAGCAGCAGCTGGTTTGTTAGGTCTGCAACTTCATTTAATTAATATTAGAATATGTACAGAGAGAACTCGTGTAAATGAATATCTAAATAGCATAATTGAGGAAATTGAGTTCATAATAAAGGTTTTTCATTCATTGCAAATAACTATAACTCTTCACGAGCTTTAATTTTATCTTTCTTGATTGTTTCTTCAAATTGGAGCAGCTGGTCTTGCTTGAGACGGACCCTGCCCATTTTGCTTGATTGAATCATATATTGTCGGCTTATTTTCAGGTTATTTTGAGTTCAAGCCTGCCCATTTATGGACACTACTTAGTTGGGTTCATTTTTCTTGATTCCCCATCCACTTCTACACTTCTAGCTAGCAACATTATGTCTTTAATTGTAGTCGGTTTTACTTCTTAATACCGTATATAGCTATCAGGCTGTTTATTATTTGGATCCAAATGAGAAAAGGCCACAAGTAAAAGTTGTGTCCAACTATTAAATCTGTTTTAAAATTATTTCATCTAAAAATAAATAAATTAGATTTTTACATGATTAGTTAATTTGTTTTATCTTAATTAAAACTAAACAAAATATTTAACACAGTCAACTCTCAATCGTGCATTGCTGGAATCCGGCTATATATGGATGAGGAAGATTCTGCGAGCGCCATTTTAAGGAGGGAGCATTACTTCTTCTAACGATAATTTCTTAGGTTTATTTCCTTTTAGAATACCGACGTAGAAGATTGGATTTGCTTCAGTTTAAAAAAAAGTTTTATGCATATCCAGATTTCATATAATTTGAATTTTTTTATTAAGATTTAAAATTTTTTTTCTATTCAATTTAAAAATTTTATTATTATATTATTGTTTCAGACTTTAGTGTACTAACCAATAAAATTTTATCACATAAAAATTTTTTATTTTCGTTAAAATCTAATTTGGAGCCGTCATGAGATATGATAAGCTATCATTGATTAGAACTTATCAAATGTGCTTACGTGGTAAATTAGGATCCGAAACAATAATAATATAAGAGTAGAACTCTTAAATTAGACAGAAAAAATTTAGGATTTTAATTAAAAAAATTCGAATTATAGAAAGTCTCGATATGAGTAAAATCTGTGTAAAAACAAATTTGTTTTGTTCTCATAAACATATTTCTATCTAGGAGGTTTTATGGACATGGCTTTTTTTTTTTCATATTTGATATGTCAGTATTATTTTTTTATATAAAAAAAAATCCATTTTTCAATTTTTTTTCTAGGTTTTTTTTAATGTTTTATGAGTTTTTTTTTACGTGTTTTGTGCCTTTTTAAATAGTTTAAAGTAATTTTTTAAAATCTTTTTAAAATTATTTTTTTAAATAGTTGTGAGGTATTTTGATCTAAAAAAGACAGAAATGACATAAGAGAAAATAGAAATATATAAAGGCATTTGAAAAGAAAAAATTATTAAAAAAAATATGAAAAAAATACATTCAATAAATAAGAATAAATGAATCAATTGATCTTAAAATAATTTCTTATTAATTAGCGGAGGATACACAATATATATATATATATATAAAGGCTTACCATATGAAGGAGCAATTCAATCAAGTTTTTAATGCTCGCTTTGAAGTGTCTAATCTCTGTACTCTAGATTTTTAACAGAAAACTTAGAAAATTGACAATGCGAACCATATCCTCCAAGCTTATAGGCCCTAGAAAAGCAGAGAGAGACCGCAAGAAAAAAACACCGTAAATGATAATCTTGCTGTCGAAGAAATCATTTCTGAAAATGAGAGCACGTTTTGATATATTAGATTAAGGGAAGTGTTCTCTACAGTAACCAATTTTGTGGAAATGTTATTTTTCTACTAATAATAATTAATTTACACATCCAAAACATGGCAGATGCAAACAATTGATGGTAAATTTTTATAAAATTCGAATGTCGGTTTAATTTCTAGTGAATTTCATATCGTGTTCAATGAAAAAGAGAAGAATTTTGGCTGTCGTCTTCTTTTGTTTACTTAAAGACTAAGCTATATATATAAAATAATGCAATATCTTTAAACTTTTTTCTTTCTCTATCTTCGTCTTGTAATAGAAATAGAATTAATTATTTTTAAAATGAGAGTAATAAAATTTAATCATTTTCAATAAGTATAATTTCAAAATTTAAATTCTGTACATTAAAATAAAATTTATTTGAAAATCAACTTGTTTACTATTGAGCTGGGGATAGCAATAGGCTGGATATAAAATAGATACTCGTTTTATATGATTTAATAAATATCCATTAAAAATGTTTAATGGATAATGAAATGGATAAGGATAAAAAAATATTTGTCTACTAATATAGTTTCAAAATAAGAATACTCATTCTTTACTTTATTAATATCCATTAATTTATTTTGATTTTTTTATTAATATATAGAGACCTAATGAATAAAGTTTAAAAATTAAAGGCTAAAATATTTTTTAAAAAAACTTTAAAGATAAAAAAAATTATAAATAAATGATTAAAATTAAAAAAAAATTAAAGATCAAATTTTTTTTTGAAAACTAATTTGGATCGAATATAGACTATATAAAGATTTATATAGTAATTTTTTAATGAGTAATTAGTATGATATTTTTTTATGAATAAAATAAAAAAATTAAATTAGTTAACCAGATAGCAGTCATTTGTCATTACTATAATGAACCAACAACTTATTAGTTAATATTTTAACTTTAATTATGAGTTATTGATTTTAAATTTCTCCAAATAATGTTACACAGTTTACATATTTTCAGGCTAACATTTTTATATGCATAAACTAATTTCACTTCTTAGTCAATGTTCGGTTTAGACAAATATCCATATTAAAATTGAGGAATCCATAAATTTTTTTTTAATATAACTTTCATGTATACTGATATTTGGGTCCTGACGATTAAGAGGAAAAAAACAAAAAAGAAATAAAAAACACCAAATCCGTTTTTAAAATCCCGCTCAATTCCATGGAGTTCTCATCGATAGAGTTACGTGTACCCGACCTGCCATATTCCATTCATAGCAGTCGGCATTAAATAGAACCAGCCACCCAATAAATGGTTAGCGCAATAGAAAAATCAGTTTTGTTCTGTACTTTGATTTCTTGGCATTGATAGAGATGTGGTTTTCTGATGGGCCTCACGTGAAGTTCATTACGTAAACTCCACACATCAATCCAGGTTCCTGTAACATGGCAGGATCCATCAAGGAAAACAACAGCTCGATAGGGGATGAGGGATCAGATCAGAGTTTTATCGTGACTTTTTCATCTATGGTATGGGCATTACTGGCCGAATTTAACGGAAAATTTGTGTTTAGCAGCTTTTTGTTTTCATTGCCTTTCTCAGTGGAAAGCCAACAACTTTAGATACATGTGGCAAGCCAGCTAGGCAGGGAAAGTTTACAAAGTGCCAACTAGACTAAAGTTGTTGGCTTTCCACTGAGAAAGGCAATGAAAACAAATATCAATCAATAATACCTTCCTCAAGTTGGAGCATACACATTGTGAATGCCCAGCTTGGATACAAAGCTACGGAAGAGTGATATAGGCAGAGGTTTGGTGAAGCGATCGCTCGTTGGTGAGTAGAGGATACATGCAAAAGCTTGATAATGTCCGAGTGAACTTTCTCGCAGACAAGATGACAATCAAGCTCTATATGTTTTATTCGTTTATGAAACACCTGGATTGGCGGCAATGTGAAGAGCCGATTGGTTGTCACAAAATAATAAGGTATGGGGAGAAGGAGAAATAACAAGATTATGCAAAAGATAAATGAGCCATTGTAGCTCGTAAGAGGTTTGAGCAAGGGCTCGATATTCGACCTCGGAAGCTGGAATTAGAGACAATGGCTTGTTTCTTTGATTTCCAGGAAACAAGTGAAGAGCCCAAAACATACAATACCCCATGATGGATTTTCTAATGTGTGGACAATTTGCCTAATCGAGTCATAAAAGCCTTGTGATTGGAAAGAACTAATGACGGGGAAGAATAAACCTTGACTTGGAGCGACCTTGATGAAACGAAGAACCTTATGAACAACTTTCATGTGATTCTCGGTAGGGCAATCGAGAAATTGGAAGAGTTGTTGGACATTGAAAGCAATATCGAGTCTTATTGTGATTAAGTAAAGCAACTTGCCAACAACACCGCAATATTCGGTATGTCAACCGAGAGAGGACCATCATCCTTGCATAATTTGTGAGTCGGGATCATTGGAGTAGAAACATGCTTTGAAGTAAGGAAGTGTGAGTCTTGTAACAATTCGAGGGCATACTTTCGCCGACATAAGTTGATGCCCTTAAAAGATCTAGCAACTTCAAGACCAAAAAAAAAAAAAAACTTGAACGGACCCAAATCCTTGATTTTGAATTGGTCATGGAGGAAGGATTTAAGTTGAGTGATCCGATCCATATTGCTACCGGCTAATATCATATCATCCAAATATACCGATACAAAGAATAAATTGAGAATCAAAATTCTTAACAAAAAGTTAATGATCGCGAAGCTTATAAAAAACCTTGATCAAGCAATTTTCGTAGAAAGCTTTGCAAACTATCGTTGATCGGGTTGTTTCAAGCCATAGAGAGGCTTAAGAAGTTTACAACCCTTACTAGAACTAGGAGTCGTGAAACCAAAAGGAATGCACATGTAAACTTCTTTGGTCGGATCTCCATGTAAGAAGGCATGATTGATATCAAGCTATTCCAAATGCTAATTTTTTTGTAACAAAGAATCGCCAAAAGTGTCCCGATTGTTGCCATTTTGGCTGAACTAAAAGTGTCCAAATAATTAAAACCAGACTTA